GGAGCTTTCAGGAGACCCCAGGAGGCCCCAGGCTCATGCGCAGAGACGCGCTCGTACTACTGAGACTCATTCACAATCCAACTCATTCACAGTTAGATTTGCTTCCAGACCGTCAATACGCAAGCCTTTGAATATTCGAAAATATCGCGCCTAGACGATCACGACGGACAGGTCCATGCTAATATATTCACATCTGGGGAGCTCCACGCAGTGAATCATGTGCTGTTCGTCCAAACTCCGCTTGTAGAAGGCATGCCCGACCTAAGGGTAGACTCGCGAGCCCGAGGCGTTCCACGCACCGTGGGCGTCGTGTTTTGGGCGAGCGCCCGCAGACCTCAGCGCCTCAGATGCGTGGCTCTCACGGAGGCTCCTGGGAGCGGACCCTGGCAGGCTTATGCGAAGCCTTCCGCCAGCCTGAAACGCCACCACGCTCGCCCCCACTCCTTCGGGGGCCGCCGCGGCGCAGGACTCAGTCGTCTGATGAGTCTTCAGCACGTGGCCCCCGGAACTTTGCGGGCCCCGGAAACGGCAGGGCCGTTCTTTCACCGTTTCCCCAAAAATGTCCCTTGAAAATGGAAACGGCAAAACAGCGGCGACTGGAAACGGCAACAACAACAACGGCTCCAGGATTGGAGCCGGAGCCGGAACCCGTCAAACAACGGCGACGGAACCGGTAAAAAGGCGGCGTCGGAACCGGCCAAGAAACAAAACGGAACCAGTAGAAAAAGAACAAGAAAAAAAAAAAAAAAAAAACGCCCCGTCGTTTCCAGGGCCCCTTGAGCCCCGCAAGTCCCGACGCTCCCCTCACAGGGGCCGGCCCCCAGGGCCCAGGGCCGCTCTTCCTGCCGAGGCTGTGTTCCGAGGGCCCATGCAGTCGGGGCCCCGAAGAAGGAACCCTTTTCGTTGGGGAGGGGCTCCGCGTTCCTTACGTGTGTCACAGCTTGCCTCAGGCTTTCCTTATGTTTTCGACAGGAAATCGAAGGCTAACTTATGGAAAACAGGAGATCGAAGGTTAACGTATGGAAAATAAGGGCCTCGTTCCTTATTTAGGGTTCCTCAGGTCAGCGCCCCGACGGTATGCAGCCCGGGCGAGGGCCCCCGCGAGCTCGAGCACGGCGGAGCAGTAAATTTACAGTCGGGGCCCTGAAGAAGGGACCCTTTTCGTTGGGGAGGGGCTCCGCGTTCCTTACGTGTGTCACAGCTTGCCTCAGGCTTTCCTTATGTTTTCGACAGGAGATCGAAGGTTAACGTATGGGAAAGAAGGGCCTCGTTCCTTATCTAGGGTTCCTCAGGTCAGCGCCCCGACGGTATGCAGCCCGGGCGAGGGCCCCCGCGAGCTCGAGAACGGCGGAGCAGTAAATTTACAGTCGGGGCTCTGAAGGAGGAACCCTTTTCGTTGGGGAGGGGCTCGGTGTTCCTTACGTGTGTCACAGCTTGCCTCAGGCTTTCCTTATGTTTTCGACAGGAGATCGAAGGTTAACGTATGGAAAATAAGGGCCTCGTTCCTTTCGTTGGGGAGGGGCTCGGTGTTCCTTAGGTGTTTTGCAGTTCGCCTTGACTTTTCCTCCGGCTTCGATAGGAAATCGAAGTTGAACTTATGGAATATAGGGGCCTCGTTCCTTATTTAGGGTTCCTTAGGTCAACGCCCCGACTGTACCAGTTTGAAACATATCCCATATCCCTAAGCTTGGCATCACCTCACTTCGATGCAGATCTTAACGATTCCCCCAGTCTCTGCACGCCTCCCGAAGCTTGGCATCGCCTCACTTCGCTGCAGATCTTGAGGATTCCCCCAGTTTCTGCACGCATCCCGAAGCTTGGCATCGCCTCACTTCGCTGCAGATCTTAAGGATTCTGTCCGTTTCTGCGAGCCTATCCCTAAGATTGCCCTCTCTTTTTGCCCGCCTGGTTCTAAATATCAGCGTGGGGTAGTGTTCAAGACGCTGGAGGGCCCAGGCGTTCGAGGGCCCCCCATCGAGAGGCCAAGCTCGCCACAGCGCCACAGCGAGGGCCCCCAGAGATGCCGACCCCGCCCCGGGACCGGCCTTTCGCTATGAGTCGCCGTGGCCTTCCGGTCATTTAATGGGGGGGGGGGGGCCGCTGCTCCTGGCGCCCAGCGGCTCGGGGAGCTCCGGTCGAGCCCCACCGCTGGCAGGTCCCCAGGAGGCCCTGCCGCTCGGCGCAGGCCCCCTGCAGAGGCCGCTCCTCGCCAGGGGCCCGCCGCCGGGACCCCGCGGCGCGACGGAGGCGCTGGGGCGGCTCAGGCGCCCTCCCGCGCGGCCCGCCTCGCACCGGAGCCGCGCGCGGAGGGGCTCGCCGACCCGCAGACGTCGGCGAAGCCTGCCGCGAAAGACATGACACGCCGGTCGCTGAAAGCAGGTATTTCTGGATTCCCAGAGCCCAATCTGCTTTAAGCGCCTTCCTACACTTCAAGAGTCGACACGCTTTTGCTGTGTTTTGTTATTCCCTGGGGGGGGGCCTGGATCCAATCAACTTAATCCGCCTTCATGCTTGTACCTACTTCTTCCGACCGGCGTGTACACCAGAGAGAACCCCCAATCAGTGGATGGTTTTCGCCGGGAGCCCAGGAACCCAGAACCCACCGAGATCGCGGCCTGGAATTCCAATGGAACCCGGGAAACCGGATCCGGGAGCCTGGGAACCCAGCCTGCCACCAAAATCGGCGGGAACTTTTCGCCAAATCTTCCAACTTCCGCTATATAGGACCCCTTCACTGCAAGCACTGGTTGGGGAACACCGCTGGGGTCCCCTCTTGCGCCACTCTTTCCAGGCGGCGCCCATGTGGGCCCTGTGGGCCCGGACCCCGCGAGGCCGGGCTCGCCGCCGCGGCCCAGCGGGGGACCTCGCCGGGCCAGGCGCCGGGCCCGGGGTTCCGCGCAGGGGCGGCCCCGGGTTTTGGGCCAGGGGGGCGCATGCCCACCGAGTCGGGTGTTGCTAGAAGTACCCCTGGCCCAAGGTACCCCCAGGATCCTCGGGGTGGCCCAGATGGCCTCCAGGGCACCCCTCACGAGGCCCAGAGGGCCCCAGGGGCTCCAAATGGAGCGAAAAAGCCGGGGGCACTTTGGGCCGGGGCACTTCTAGCAAGACCCGACCGAGGCTCAATCAGTGGTGAGGCGTCCCCGCTCGCCTATAGGCCTACCAAAGAATGTTCTGAGAGCCTTTTTTGGGGGTTTGCACGAAGTGTTCTTTAGAACAGTTCGGGTACAGACTGTCTTGTTTTAGCACATCGGGCTAATGTGCTAAGATCATTGATGTTCTTGTTCTTCGAGCATTTTGGGGGTCCAAGAACAGTGGTAGGACATGGGAATGCCGGGACGGTCGGTCCCTGCTCAAGAGGCCGCGCGCGCAGGACGGCCCGGGGCAGATCTCGTCCGCGGGGGAAGCCGTTGGCGCGCTCTTGGTCAACAGTGTCCGGCAACAGAGCACGGGGGCCTGGCGTGGCCTGTGGATTCCTCCTTTTTGGCGTCGATTGGCGTCGATTCGCGTCTGGGAGTCGCTGTAGATGGCGCCGATTTAGTGTCGGTTAGCGTCGATTTAGCGTCGATTCGCGTCGAGTCGCAAGAGCCGGCAAGATGGTATGGGAGGCTCCCATGAGTTGCCACCGAAGTGGTCTCACCCCCTTTGTCCGACCTTCATGCGCTTTCCAGCGCATGTTGTGTAGACGTGCCTTCTAGAAAGAGTGCTTTTATCCCGTGACGATGACGGGCGTGACCGGGGTCGGGGACGCGGGGAGGGAGGTGGTCACGTCACGATTCGCGACTGCGCCGTCTGGGAATAATCAGAAATGGCCAGTTCCCAGACGGCGCCATCGCGGAATCTTGACGCGACCAGGGGGGCGGCCGGTCACGGGCGCCATCGCGGCTAGTGAAAGAAGTGCGTTCCTTGATGTTTTACGTTTCGTCGATGCGCCGTCAGGGCGCAGCTTCCACTCAGCCGGTCAGCCCCCCGAGGCCAAGCTCGACCCTTGCTCGACGCCGACGTTGCCGATGCATCGCCGGCGTCGCCGATGCATCGCCGATGCAACGACGGTTCGGCGCCCTTCTGCATGGCATACCAATCGGGGCGAGGGGGGGCGACGAACCCCTTCCGACGGAGCGTCACCATCCCCCCCCACACAACCCCCTACCGCGCGTCCCAAACCTCCCCCCCCGACGGCTCACGCCCCATTCCTCTTCCGAACCCAAGGGAGGGGCGATGATTGTGGAGTATCCTGGCACCCAGCCCCCATCAGCCGAAAAGGTAGGCGACCGACACGGGCACCGAAGACGTGCCCGAAGTTGTGACCAGAAACGTCGTGGGACAGAAATCGTGGGCGAATTTGATCGGAGGCGGAGAAGAGGGGGGTGATGACTAGGGGGGGGTGGATATCATGGCGTGGGCCATGAGATCTCCCCAGATTTCGCGGCGCCTCTTCTTATTCCATTACGTCCCTGGCCCCCCCGCTGGGCCGCGCACATGCCGCCAGTCAGGATTTGCACCCCGCCCTCTTGGACACCCCCCTCTTGGCCGCTCCCGATTTGAGAATCGTCATGGTTCCGAACCAAACGTTTTTTCGGTCACTCTCGTGCGCGGTCTGCAAAGCTCGGGCGCCGGCCTCGGCCATACGCTCGGGAGCAGAGCTTCGGGCACAGCCTCGGGCACGACGCCCCCCTGCCAGAGACGGGGCTGCGCACGCGAGGAGTATCCTCCGGCCCCTGCCTCCTCCGACCCCGCCTGGGCGGCCTCCACGCCAGGGCGCGGCCTTCGCTGGGGGAACAACAAGTGGCATAAACATAAAAACTCGGAGGTCCACGTGGAGTTCTGGGATCGGCGCTGGACCCCCCTCCCTGGCGCGCGGAGCGCGCCAGGGGCGGCGCCGGAGGCGCCGCCAGGGGGCCCCAGCGCCGATCCGAGAAATCCGCGCGGACCTCCGAGTTTGTATGTTTATGTCGATTTGTTCGTTTTCCTGTTCGCTCCGCCGGCCATCCCCCCGAGCAGAGGCCAAGCTCGACGCAGCCGCCCAGCCCGGGCCCGCCCGGCACGCCCTTGCGCACGCCGCCCCGGCGGCCGGCGGTGGCGCGCTGGCCACCCAGGAGGGCCCCGCAGCCCCCGCCGCGGGACCCTCCTCCTCTTCCTCCTCCGCCTCCTCCTCCTCCTCCCTCCTCCTCCGCCTCCTCCTCCTCCTCCCTCCTCCTCCTCCTCCTCCTCCTTCCCTCCTCCTCCTCCCTCCCTCCTCCTCCTCCTCCTCCTCCTCCTCCTCCTCCTCTCCTCCTCCTCCTCCTCCTCCTCCTCCTCCTCGTCCTCCTTCTCTCCTCCTCCTCCTCCTCCTCCTCCTCCTCCTCCTCCTCCCCCTCCTCCTCCTCCTCCTCCGCCTCCTCCTCCTCCTCCTCCTCCTCCTCCTCCTCCTCCTCCTCCTCCTCCTCCTCCTCCTCCTCCTCCTCCGCCTCCTCCTCCTCCTCCTCCTCCTCCTCCTCCTCCTCCCTCCTCCTCCTCCTCCTCCTCCTCCGCCTCCTCCTCCTCCTCCGCTCCTCCTCCTCCTCCTCCTCCTCCTCCGCCTCCTCCGCCTCCTCCTCCTCCTCCTCCTCCTCCTCCTCCTCCTCCTCCTCCTCCTCCGCCTCCTCCTCCTCCTCCTCCTCCTCCTCCTCCTCCTCCCCTCCTCCTCCTCCTCCCCTCCTCCTCCTCCTCCTCCTCCTCCTCCTCCTCCCCCTCCTCCTCCTCCTCCTCCTCCTCCTCCTCCTCCTCCTCCTCGTCCTGCTCCTCCTCCTCCTCCTCCTCCTCCTCCTCCTCCTCCTCCTCCTCCTCCTCCTCCTCCTCCGCCTCCTCCTCCTCCTCTTCCTCCTCCTCCTCCTCCCCCTCCCCCTCCTCCTCCTCCTCCTCCTCCTCCTCCTCCTCCTCCTCCTCCTCCTCCTCCTCCTCCTCCTCCTCCTCCTCCTCCTCCCCCTCCCCCTCCAGCGAAAATTGTAGCGGGCGGTTGGTGGCCGTTTTCGGCCTCCAGGGGCCCTCGCCGGGCCTCGGGAGCGTCAACAAAAAAGAGAGTCGGGACGAAACACCTGTCTTGGGGAAGTAGTCCAGACCTCCTGGGCCCGGGCATCGAAAAGATCGGAGCAGCTGGATATCTGGGTTCGCCGCCGCTGCTTTCTTATCGTTCCGTTTGCTCCCTCTCCTTCGCCGCGCAGTACAGACTACTTAGAGCGGGCAGCGGATCCCTGGCGGGATCTACGGGCGGCACATTTTGCGGACTGCGGACAGCGTCCGCACCGAAATGACCCAGTGAGTTAGTTGTTCGACGGCACGGCGGAAGGCTTTTCGCCGCTTTCGGCCTCTGGGGGCCTTAACGGAGCCGTCGAGCAAGGGCTGTGAATGAAAAATTGGCCCTGGGGAAAGGGTCGGGACTTCCGCGGACCGCGCACTTAAAAAGATCTAGACATCGCACGTCTGGCTTCGAGGATGCGTTCAGACTCCCACAGAGGGGGGGGGGGGCGCAGGCACAGAGGGTGATTTTCCGAATCGGTCTGGACCAGAAGAGAAAGGCAGAAGTACACCTCTTCGTCCGTGAATGGTCGACCACGACCTGGTCTGAGCAAGATGCTGTTTGGCGAGAGCATGGATTCCTGAAGCCAGGATTCTAAGGCGCTCCGTTGGGAGCGTGGAAATGAGCAACACACATGCATTCACAGAATCGACTGTGGAATTCATGGGCTGTGGCCGAGCGTGGAAGACAAACGCACAAAATGCAGAAACATAGTTTTTCGGAGCTGCGCCTGGGATTGGTGCTGGACCACCCCGGCCCTGGCGCGCCCCGACCTCCGGGAAGTTATGTTTGTGCAGTGTTTCGTTGCTCTATCTTCGGGGATGCGTCCAGACTCCTGCAGAGGGGGGCTAGGCCCAGAGGGGGATTTCCCGATTCGGTCCGCCCCGATTGCGATACTCCGACGACCCGATGCGGCCCGACGCTCGCGCGGCGTCGTTGTGCACCTCTGCTCGGCTGATCCGATTCGATTCCGGCCCCGTGCCAATGCGGCCAGATTCGGTGCAAGTTCAGGTCCGATTCGATGTCTCGATTCGATGCTGACTGATCATGGGCACTGCAGGGGGGAGAAAGGCATACGGATACCAGCACCCTTCCCTCGGTCTTTGCTGGTGCAGGGTTGTGTTTGCTTCCCCCTCTTCCTTCCTGCCGTTTTCGCTTCCCATCCCCCTTTCTTCATTAGTGTGTGTGTGTGCTTTCGGTGGCTGCCGGCCTCTGGTGGCTTCTATGAACCCACATCGTGCGCTGTGCTTTGTCCCGTCCTGTGAGTCTCAGGAGCTAGAGTAGAACAAGTCGGCTCATGGAATGCGCTCCCGAGACTCTTTTGTGTTTATTTTCCGTTGCTTCTCCGTGCCGCCGAGCCCTCGCCAGGAAACTCCATCATAGAACTCCTTGTTTCCAGCTCTGTCCTCACAACTCTCTGCCTCGCCAGTCGTGCGCACCCCACGGGAACCCTGAGAGGCCCCACAGGACTCTCGAGCACCTCCTCCGGCCCGTCCGAAACGACCCACAGGCTCCCTCTGCGCCCTGCCCTGCCCCCCCCCCGCCCCCCCCCCCCAGCACATCTGTCTCTCTGCTGTCTCCCTTTCCCGCCTCCCCATCCACCATCTCCTCCACCACCTCCCCCTCCTCCTTCCCCATCGAGCAGCCCAACCACAACCCCCTCCTGCTCGTCCTCCTCCTCCTCCTCCTCCTCCTCCTCCTCCTCCTCCTCCTCCCCCTCCTCCTCCTCCTCCTCCTCCCCCTCCTCCTCCTCCTCCTCCTCCTCCTCCTCCTCCTCCTCCTCCTTTCGTAGACATTTTGGCTCAATCTTGATTCGGATCGAGTGAAGACATTTGTTTCTTCCATCTACTTTGTGCGACGATGATTCGGGTGGGATGTTCGGCGGCCTGCGCCGCTGTGGCGAGCGGGCTCCATGCCGACGCGGGCGCCCTCACCCAGCTCCGGGGTTCCAATCATTCGGTCCTCATCCTGGGATGCTCTGTAGGCAGGAACGCTGTGGAGAGGTTTGCGGCAAGGTCGGCAAGCTTTGCCGCGCGGGGTGCTACGACGAGGAGCGCATGCTCAACATAGGCTCGTCTTCCACCCCATGGTGGGCATCAACGGTGACCTGTAGCCGCCCTGTTTTTGCGGCGCTTCCAGGGGGGAAGTGAGAAGGAGAAGGACTTCTAAGAAGGCTCGGAAGGCCCCCCGGCTTTTGAGAAGTTTTCTAAGCCTTTCCCGAAGACGCAGAAACGTTCTCAGAAGGCGCGAGGGCTTCTGAGAAGTCCCGCCGCCTTCAGAGAAGGCCTTCTCCTTCTCACTTCCCTCCACGCTCGCCATCGACGAGCGTGACGGCAGACCGTCTGCACCAGTGGGGCACGCGTAACCTGAGGAAAATAATTGGCCTGCGTGTCCGAGGCGTACTACAAGAGCCGCATCGTCTTCAGGATTGCGCCCGCAGTGTGCAAGACAAAGTGGGTCACTAGTGGCACATGGTACGAATACAAGGATGTCGCAGCAATCTCGAATGATGGGATCCGCATGATGCAGATGGATCAGAGGAAACATTTCAGGGACGGCAGGCAATACGGCAAATACGAGGTAATCGACTACAGCCCGATCATGAACGATCTTGTCCAGGAGCGCGGGGTCGTCGATCCGTCCCTGCGGCTGAAGGATGGGTACCATCCCAGTGCGGAGCCCTCCCGGCGCTACTACCTCAACGAGATCTTCCGCCTCATGAACCTGGCGACGGTGGAGAAGAAGATGGAGGTGAGCGTGAGCCAGCGGCGGTGGATGGCGGCCGCTGGCGACAGGGACTAGGCGGGCGATCTCCCCTGAGGGCTGCGGCGATGTGTTCGCCAGCCCCATTGCTCTAATTGTGAAGATAGATTTCATGGTTCTTTATTGACCCCCCTCCTCCTCACCACCACCATCCTCCTCCTCCTCCTCCTCCTCCTCCTCCCAGGCCGTTTCTGGCAACCACGGTTCACACTCTGTCTGCGACCTGTCTCACTCATTATTTCCCTTCTCTCTGGCCTTTTTTTATCATAGTGGGGTCTCCTCCAAATCGGTTCAGAAGCTGCCAATGTTTTATCACTTGGGGTCTTACTAGATTGGCAAAAGAGGATGATGGTCAGACCCTGGGGTCTGGTGCGCCGCCGCCGCCGGAGCGGCATGCTGTTCGTGAGCTGCTCACTAAGTCAAAACAGGTGCCCAATCCCAAAGACGCGAGGGCCAAGACAAAATGCAGGCTCCTCGAGACTTCGGGGAGAGAGATTTTGGGGTAGGGTTTTACCAAGGCGACGACGACGAACGCAAAACATACCCCGAAGTCTTTGGCCGATCTTCGAATCCTCGGTGAATCCGCGATTTGGGATTGGGGATGTGTTTTTTCGTGGTCAACTGATGTGCAGGTCGTCTCGTGCACCCCCCCCTCCCCTCGAAGGCGGACAAGGCCGGGCTCGAGACGGAAGTCCCCTTCCCGCTCAAGAGCCCGAGCAGGGCGCGCCCTGGCCGCTGGCGGGAGGGAAGTCGGGGGCAACGAGGGGGGGGGGATGGGGGGGGGACAGCATCGACCCCCAGTCGCCCGGTCCTCGCCGAGCGGGTTCTGGTGGCCCACCTCGGGGACCCCGCCTCGCTATTGGGCGCCAATGGCCGATATATCGGCGATACATCGCCGATGCAGGCTCGATGCTTCCCCTCCTCCTCCTCCTCCTCCTCCTCCTCCTCCCCCTCCCCCCCCCCTCCTCCTCCCCCTCCTCCTCCCCCTCCTCCTCCCCCTCCCCCTCCCCTCCTCCTCCCCCTCCTCCCCCTCCTCCTCCTCAGGAAGGGCGCGGGGGGTCGCCTCGAAGGGACGGTGTCTTGAGAGAAACGGAACCTACAGCCGAGCATTTGATTCATAAGCTTGCCCCCGAAAAGCTGGCCCAGCGTTTCGTGACCAACTTGCCGGAAAGCTGGCTCAGTTTCTCAAGGGGATTGGTAGCCTTGGACCCTAGAGATGAATAGTGCACGTCCCTGGCTCCAAAAGCTGACCCAGGGTCTCCTACAGAAGCTTCTGGAAAGCTGGCCCCGATTTCTTAATTGATACTTTTCTTGATCGTAGTTTTGACCGTAGAGCCCGGGGGCTCGCGGTTCGGACGAACTGGCGCAGATCGAGACACGGGGAGTTGCGAGATCTCCTGCACGCGGCTGGCCTCGCTCTCCCGCCGACAAGGGCGCTCCTCCTCGACGCATGCTCCCTGGCCCGTCCACTGGCGCGTCCAGTGGCACGTCCCGTGGCGCGTCGCCTGGCACGTTTCCTGGCGCGTCCCGGCGCGCCACCTGGCACGTCTGAGTCCCGATCCCTTGGCACGGTTCCTGGCACTTCCCTTGTGGGCGTGTCCTATGGTATATCTGATCTTCTGGCACGTCCCAGGGCGCGCCTGCGGCATTTCCCCGCGCTCGTTCCCACAGCGTCTCGTGGCAAGTTCCATCACGCGTTCCGCGGCACGTCCCCTGGCGCTTCGCGCAGTATGTCGCACGGCGCGTCCCATGCCACGTCTCTTTGCGGCACGTTCCTCGGCGAATCTTCCGGCGCCACCCTTAGCGCGTTCCAGGCGCGTCCACCAGCGCTTCCACTGGCACGTCCCTGGGCACGTCGCACGGCGCGTCCTCCGGCACGTCCCATGGCACGTCCTCTGGCGCGGCCTCTGGCTCGTCCGTTGGCGCGTCCCATGAAACACTCCGTGGCGCATCCCACAGCACGTTCCTTGGCACGTTCCCTGGCGGGTCCCCTGACGCGTCCTGTGGCGCGCCCCAGGGCGCGCCCACTGCCCCGTCCCTTCTCGCGTCCCCTGGCGCGCCTCGTGGCACGTCCCCTGGCACGTCTCTGGGCAAGTCCACCTGCACGTCTCCTGGCTCGTCCTCTGGCGCGTCCTCTGACACGTTCCGTGGCGCGTCCCCTGTCTCGTCCCGCGGTGCGGCCCTTGGAACTTCCCTTGGAGCGTCCCCTGGCGCGTCCTCTGGCACATCTCCTGGCACGTCCCAGTGGCGCGTCTGTGGCACGTTCCCTGGCCCGACCCCTTGCTTGTCCCTGGAGCGCCTCCCAGCGCGTCCCCTGGCGCGCCAACTGGCGCACTCGTTGCCACGTCCCCTTTCGCGTGCCCTGGCGTGCTCCGTGGCACGTCCCCTGGAATGTGGGCGCGTCCACTGCCTCGTCCTCGGCGCGTCTCCTGGCACGTCCCCTGGCACGTCCCCTGGCACGTCCTCGGCACGTTCCCTGGTGCGTCCTTGGTGCGTTCCTGGCACGTCCAGCGGCGCGTCTCCTCTGTAGTCCTTGAACCTCCTGGGTGTTTAGTGAAGAATCTGTGTTCGGTTTCAGAAGAACGGGGCTTGCCGACAGGCGGCAGCGAGAGGATCTGGAGGCCGTATGACGCGAGGCGAGGGAATTGGAGGAGAAGGAGGAGGAGGAGGACGAGGAGGAGGAGGAGGACGAGGAGGAGGAGGAGGAGGACGAGGAGGAGGAGGACGAGGAGGAGGAGGAGGAGGAGGAGGAGGACGAGGAGGAGGAGGATCACCAGAGTTGACGCAAGTGACATGGAAGATGGTGCCATACGCCCCCTGGTCGCTGCTGGAACTTCCCCCTGGCGCCCCGTGGTCCTGCGACGCGGGCGAGGGCCCCAGCTGGAGGAGGAGCTGCCATCCGTGCGCCTACGGCAGCCATGAGGACTGCGATGGGGCTCGGCATCGCTCGGACTTCTCTGTAAGAACGGTTTTTTGAAGGCAGATCTGCCTTCAAAGAGCAAAGACTGGTCTACTCTGTAAGAACGGTTTTTTGAAGGCAGAGTTGCCTTCAAAAAACCGTTCTTACAGAGTAGACCAATTTTTTGAAGGCAGATCTGCCTTCAAAAAACCGTTCTTACAGAGTAGACCAGTTTTTTGAACGCAGATCTGCCTTCAAAAAACCGTTCTTACAGAGTGCACTTCTCTTTCGGCGACGACCATCGAGGAGCATCCTTGATCATCTGGCGAAACAACCACGCACGAGACCGAACAAACGCACAGGACATGGACGTCCGAGCGATGGCCAGTGGGGACTGCGATAGGGGTAAGAGTGCGAGATCCAAGAGCGCGTCCAACGATAACCCCGCTCTGACAGGAGCCACCTACAGGCCGTGAAGCATGTTTCCGCCAGCGTTTGGCTAGAAAGCCAAAGGAAGTCTGGAGCGAGAGACCCGAATTGAACAGGAACCGCCCTCCATCCGCGTAAGTGTTGCGTAACTTTGAACTTCTGATCGCAAGACTTGCAGACATGTTTCACGAAAGCTATGTTCTCAAACAAGCTGCCCTCCATCCGCGTAATTGCGCCGCGTTAGGGCGAGAGCCGCATTGCGAATGCGACCGCCCTCCGTCAGTGTAACTGTTGAAAGCCTGTATGGCGAATGTGGGTAGCCTTAATGTGCGAGCCACGTTTTGAAAAGGAACCGTCCTGCAGTCGCGTAACGATAGGGAGTTTTTAATACGAATGTGCGCGGCGTCAGGGCGGCAACAACGTTTTGAAAAGGAACTGCCCTGCATCCGTGTAACCGTTGGAAGCTTTTATGGCGATTGCTGGCGGCGATAAGATAAGAGCCACATTTTGAAAAGGAGCCGCATTCCATCCGTGTAATGTTTGGAACATGCTACGATTTATGGTGACAACGCGACGGCGACAGATATATTTTGACGCCCCCCCCAATCTGTGCAACGCCTGACTCTTGGAAGCGTTGAAGTCGTATGCGCGGCGCTATGGCGGGAGACATATTTTGACAAGGAACCGACCTACAGCCGTGTGCTTGTTGGAAAAGTATATAACGAACGTCGGCGGGCTCTTGCTCTAGCCACATTTTGGCTGACCCCCGTCCGTATCACGTATACCTGTTGGAGGCGTGTAAGACGAATGTGCGCGGCGGTAAGGTGGGCAACACGTTTTGGAAACGATCCCCCTGAGAACGTGCAGCTGGTGGGAACTGTTATACCGAATGTGTGCGTCGCTACGGCAGAACGCGCGCGTTCTGTGGACGCTTGGAGGGGGGGTCCAGCAACGCGCCCCCCCCCCCCAGCCTGCGTTGGCGCCGGTGTGGGCCTGGGCCTGGGCCTGGGCCTGGGCCTGGGACTGGGCGCGGGAGTGGGCGTGGGCACGGGCACGGGCACGGGCACGGGCACGGGCGCGTGGGCGTGGGCGTGGGCATGGGCATGGGCGTGGGCGTGGGCTTAAGCGTGGGCGTGGGCGTGGGCGCGGGCGCGGGTGTTGGCGTGTGCGTGCGTGTGAGCGTGGGTGTGGGACTGGGCCTGGGCGCTGGCCTGGGCGTGGGCGTGGTCTTGGGCGTGGGCGTGGGCGTGGGCGTGGGACTGAGCGTTGGCGTGGGCGCGGGTGTGGGCGTGGGCGTGGGTGTGGGCGTGGGTGTGGGCGTGGGCCTGGGCGCTGGCGTGGGCGTAGGCCTAGTCGTGGGTGTGGGCCTGGGCCTGGGCGTGGGCGCGCGTGCGGGCGTGGGCGTGGGTTTGAGAATTGGCGTGGGCGTGGGCGCGGGCGTGGGCGTGGGCCTGGGCGTGGGTGTGGGCGTCGGCGCTGCCAGCCGCCGTCGCCGCCGCCGTCGCCGCCTGCGCGCCAGGGACGGCGCCAGAGGGGGGAGGGGGGTGGGGGGGGGTCGGAGATGGACGGGGGGGGAGGGGGAAAGGGAGTCCCCCTGGTTCTGTTCGACGGCGCCGAATGTTGGCGGGACACCCCCCCTGGTTCAAACGCGCCGCCCAATGTTCCCAAGGCAAGCGACCGTGAAACGCGCTCCCTCCTACGGCAGGAGCTACATGTTGAAGACCACCACCTCCATCCGTGTGATTGTCTGTATACTTCAAGCTTCGGGCAACTCATAGAGTGGAGGTCTCAGGCAAATTGCCTGGCCCGCCCAGCCGACATGCGCGGTGGTCAGACGAGGAGGTGTTTGTAAAGACCAGGGGTGGAGAGCGACGGTGACGTCGGCGGCGACCATCAGGAGGCAGAGCGCAGGCTCGGCAGACCTATATTCCTGTCAGGTTTGTGTTGTGAATGTTGTTGCTTATTGTGTGTGTGCGTGGATGTCATGGCCAGTGTCATGAAATCTCTTCGGGCCATTCGCTGACCCCCCTTCTTCCTGGCCCCCTCTGCGGCGTACCCGCGTCTACAGTACGCTCCGCACGCTTTTCACGCTCGCTACTCTCGTTGCGAGCGGCACTTTCTTCTTCTTGCCCTGCACACGCTGCAGCAGCGGGAAGACGAGAAGGAGGAGGAGGAGGAGGAGGAGGAGGAGGATGAGGAGGAGGAGGAGGAGGAGGAGGAGGAGCCGCGGCAGCAGCAGCAGCAGCAGCAGCAGCAGCAGCAGCAGGAGGACGAGGAGGAGGAGGAGGAGGAGGGCCGCTCACACACGAGTGGGGCCCCTCGCTGCATGCGGCGGCCTCGCTGAGCGATTCTGTCGCAGTCTTCTGCGTGCCGGAGGTCCCAGTTGGAGACTTCTTTTAGGAGGCCGGTTTTGATTGGAGGCCCCGTTCGCGCCCCAGTCGGAGCGGTTCTATTGGAAGTGGTTTCGCACCTGGTGGCCGCCGCAGACTGTCCCCGTCAATGGCCAAGCTGGCACCGTTGTGCGTGCCTGGCACGCCATCTTCCTTCCCCATCCTGCGCAGCAGGAGGAGGAAGAGGACGCAAAGGGATAGTAAGGAAGGAGGGAAGGACGAGGAAAACCATTTAACACCCCTTGCAACTTTCGGAAGTCTTGGACGTAGTGGAAAATGGTGGGACAAAGTGAAACAACTATGGCCCTCCTTCTCCCTTGTCATTCCTGTTGCCTCTCTTCCTCACCCTGAGGTCCCTGGAGCGCCCAAGGGGTCCCAGAGGCTTCTGGACATCCAGAACGGAGGACCAGAAAAGCTTTGAGGCCCCAATCATGCTCCCCGATCCTCCTCCTGCCCCCTCGTCCCCCTGGGAGTGCGAGGAGCAGCAGCAGCGGCGGTAGCTCGTTGCCCAGTGCAGAGACCTGGTCCTCGCATCATGCTGCGGATTTCTGCTGGCATCGCTTGGGCCCGCGCCCACTCCCACGATCACCGCTGGAGAGTGTGGCCCGCTGCGTGACCGATCGCGGCCGGCAACGAGGCGGCCAGGAAAGTGTATGAAGGCGTGCGGCAGCAGCAGTGGCAGCGGCAGCGGCAGCAGCAGCACCGACTGCCGCAGTGGCAGCCGCTGCGAGGCGCCGGTGCGCCCGCCTCCGTCCGGCCAGGTGCCCTTCGGCCTGCCCACGGGCAGCCCAGCGCAGCGCAGGCCTGGCGGGGTCACGGCGCCGCCGGCGCCGTCGTCGGCCCCAGACCTCTGGCGGGTTGACGTGTTGAATCCTGGCGCTTCTCCTCTGGTGAGGGCCGCTGGGGCCATCAGGAAACGAGGCAGGATGAAGAACTGGCCCCCCCACGGAAGGGTTCGCGAGGTGGGTCCCACGTGCTGGAAATTCCGCCAGCCCTGCTTCCGACGATCTGATTGGACCTTCGCAGTCGCTTCCGAACTAGACCAAGACGTACCAATCACCAGCTTGTCTTTGTCCCCTTCATCTGGCGCCCAGTTTGGCTTGAATTGTTCGCGAGTTCTCCAAAAGCCTTCGAGGTAGACGTTCATTTCTGATCCTCCTCCTCCTCCTGCCTATCATCCGTCTTCCTCTTCTCGGCACCAAAGTACCATCTCAGGGTAATCCATGGGGTAATCAGTCTTCCTCCATCGATGGAGGAGGAAAAAGAGCAAGACGAACAGGAGGAGGAGGAGGAGGAGGAGGAGGAGGAGGAGGAGGAGGAGGAGGAGGAAGAGGAGCAGGCGGAGGAGGAGGAGCAGGCGGAGGAGGAGGAGGACCTCGAGGTGGAGCTGTTGGGGTGAGGGGCAGGTGCAGAGGCAGGCAGGGCAGCGGGCGCAGGAGGGACCGTCCCTTGCACCATCCAAGACCGAGAGTGCCCCGCGGGGCTGGCCCCGCCCCGCCGCGGGCACCCCGCAGGGCCCGGCGGCCAGCGCGGCCGGGGTCGGCGGGCCAGCGCCCCTGCCAGGGCGTTCGCCTGCCTGCGCGCACGGGCCCCCCGAGTCGCCCCCCCGAGTCGCTCCCGAGGGGCCGGGGCGGGCCCCGCGGTGCCGTCGCTCTGTCCGCCATGCCCCTGCGGAGCTGTCCGCCCCTGCGGAGCTGTCCGCCCCTGCGGAGATGTCCGCCCGACCTCTTCGCAGCGTTCGCGGTGCACGTCAGGCACCATGCCCCCCAAAACAGTGCCTGCATTCGGGTGCTCTCTACCTCTTGTCTAAAGGAGCTGGGCCTGGGTGCTTGTGCGGCGGCGATGTCGTCACCGTCGCCAGGCCGCCTCGTCGCCTTCCGTCGTCTGGGCCTGTCTGGCGGTCTGACGGCTATGTCGTCGCCGTCGCCGTTCCGTCGCCGCTTCGTCGACGCCCGTCGTCGGGTCGACCGCCTTGTGGTTGCCGTCGCCGCCCTGTCGCCGTCGCTGGCAGCTCCTGATAGTTGCCGATAGATTGGGCATGCGGGTGTTTGCGGCAATTCGGTGCACCAACGGATCGAACTCATGCCCCCCCTCAGGGTCACCTCCCTTCTCTAGTGGATCCCGACAGTCCCGGGGAAGCGGTCCAGACCTCTTGGGGTTGAAGTTGTGAAAAAATCTACTTCGGAGGTCTGAGAGAGGAGAACGAGGAGGAGTCGGCTACGTGTAAGAGTGACCCCTCGCCAGAGTGATCTTACGTGCAGGCTCGCATGGGTCACCCAATCATAGTCATGCGCGCGTTGATTTGGCCCCCCCGGCGGCACTGAAACCGCGCACCAAAGGTTCCCGTTGCCCACGGTCACTCTTGCGTGTCTTTGAAGGAAGGGAGGGACTGAGGAGGAGGGGAGAGAGGTCCGCAGCGGTCTTGGCTCAGGGCGCTGTGGGCCAATACAGGGTTTGCGGTGCTCAGGCGTCCACGCCCAGCGCTGGAATCGTAATCTCGCAACTGCACCCAACCACTAGTCCTGACCAGACTCATCTCTGGACCCTCGCCTTGTGTACGGCAGGCGCGCCAGATAACCAGTCGGCCTGCTATACAAGTTCCATATCCTGGCCTACGCGGGGCGCTCTTGAAATGGCCTCGGCCTCGATCGACACCACGTTCCACACCTCGCCTCTGGCGGAGGCCACGCCGCAGGGCCTGCGGAGGTCCAAAGTCGGCGGCCTCGGCGGCTGTCAGTTCGGCGGGAAGCGCGGCAGGAGCTCGGCGGAAGTACAGCCCCACACCCTCCACGGCTTCGGTTTGCTTTCATGGAAGCCTTCAGTTTCTCCTAACATTTTATGAAGGCCTTGCGGCCGGTGCCGCCGACCCAGAAGGACGACGACGACGACGACGACGACCACGACGACGAGGACGATGATCATGACGACGGTCATGACGACAACCACAGCGACGAGCTGATGACCCTGCCTCAGGCTAGGGACATGGGGCGGGCGGTGGACGGAGGAGGAGGAGGTGGAGGAGGAGGAGGAGGAGGCGTAGGAGGAAGAGGAGGAGGAGGAGGAGGAGAAAGACGAGGTGGGGGAGGAGGAGGCGGAGGAGGAGGAAGAGGAGGAGGAGGAGGAACAATTGGAGGAGAGAGGAGGAGGAGGAGGAGGAGGAGGAACAATTGAGGAGGAGGAGGAGGAGGAGGAGGAGGAGGAGGAGGAGGAGGAGGAGGAGGGAGGAGAGGAGAGGAGAGGAGAGGAGAGGAGAGGAGAGGAGAGGAGAGGAGAGGAGAGGAGAGGAGAGGAGAGGAGAGGAGAGGAGAGGGAGGAGGAGGAGGAGGAGATGAGGGATGAGGGCAACTGACACCGCGTCCGAGCTGAACAAACCTCAGGCTGAATAGGACAACCCTGAGGAGCCGCAGAGCGACAGAAAGTTATGAACCTCGAGGCGCGGCGTGGGCAAGGAGAACCCGCGCCTCCGAACGCAACCGGGAAAAAGCCACACGAGTCAGGCTTCGGCCTCCGAGCGCCGAGGGCGCCCAGGGCGTCCATGGAGGATCCGCTTGACCAGCTCGAGCTGGCCAGCACGGGTGCCCAGGTTCTCTGGGAGCCCCTGACGCGGGCCGCCGAGTTTCCGAGCGCTCCGAGCAGTCAAGACAGCCGTCGTGGCAGCACACGCGGGGAACGGAACTTTACACACCGACGCGTGTTCCGGGCCTGCTCTGAAACTTGCAACCAATGATGCGGGTCCCGGTGTATACGGGATCCTGGTGTATACATGCTTCGTGCTTCCCCAAGACAGCGGGGAAACAAGTATACCCCACACTACCCCGACGCCGTCCTCGAACCTCCAAAGAAAAATCCGGGGATTGAGAAACAGCCCACCACTGGTAGTGTATAGGCTCCGATCTCCGAACGCTCGCGACGGCAAAGCACGGACCCAACACAGAAACACATCGCGCCCCAATTCTGACGAACCAGCGACACACACACACACACACACACACACACACACACACACACACCCGTACCCATAGGGGGATCGGAGAGGGCCAGGGGTGCGTGTTGTCGGATGGGGGCCCCCGCTCGAACGGGAGCGTTCCCCAGGGTCCGACAACCCGCACCCATACCCATAGCCAGTCCTCCTCCCAACGACCCCCCTATGGGTATGGGTGCGTGTTGTCCGCTCGTCGAATTCGGCAACCTCCGAAGCGCGGGCCCCGCCGAGCTCTCCTGCTGCGGGGGGGGGGGGCCCGGCCCCGCGGGCGGGCACGGCCTGGGCCACGGGCGGGCCAATCCCCCAAGGAAGCCTGGGCCTGCTCCGGCGAGGCCTCCGGGCGTGGGTCCGCAGCCCTCACCAAGACCTCCGTTCGGCGTGCCCTGGAAACGACAGGGCCGTTTTTGTTACCGGTTCCGTGTTGCCGTTTTTGTTGCCGGTTCCGACGCCGTTTTTTTACCGGTTCCGGCTCCGGTTCCGGACCTGGAGCCGTTTTTTTGCCGTTTCCGGTCGCCGTTTTTTTGCCGTTTTCATTTTCAAGGGACATTTTTGAGGAAACGGTGACAAAACGGCCCTGCCGTTTCCGGGGCCCACAAAGCCCAGACCTCCCTTCGGCGTCACCTCAACATACTTCTGCTATATGTGCGTTGCCCTCCCAGAGGCGACGCGCGCACCGAGAAGTCTTGTAGTATATGCGTCGTGGCGGGCTTTTCTGGCCACACCGCTCGGGAAACGATATACTACAAGATGGGTATACCATGTGTTCGGGTCGGACGCGCGCCCCCAAGGAGAACATATAGTACTAGCAAGTCTCTGTGCGTCCCATCCTTCGACGTACGAAAGGGCTCTGAAACTGCAGCGCGCTGGATGGCAGAAGGCTCGCATCTCCGACCCGCACCCGTCCTGATCCACGCCGGAGTCGCTGGGAGGCGAAAGCCGACACCCTGAGTTTTCGATCGTTTTCAGGCCCTGGGTCCCTCACAGATCGATCTGGCTCGAAAAATGATGCAGAAAGATGGGGTCCAGGGCTCTGGTCATGATGTTTTGCGATGTTGTTTTTCTGTTGGATTTCAGGGGAGGGAAAGCCCAAAGCGGGGGAGGGGTCAAAACCCCGGGGACCCCTCCTGATAGGGACGGAACAGAGGAAAGGGGCTTCCCGTTGACATAATTACGACATTGTTCGATCTCCCTTGATTGTTCGATCTCCTTCCTCTACGACGGCGACGATTCAAAAGAGGCTGGCGTACTTCAGTTCGGATTGGGCTGGCCTCTCGTTGAAGGGTCTCTCTCACACGGATTTGCAGCCAAACGTTTGCCGCTATCTGCCACTGCTGTTTGCATTTAATTCACCAATAGATTGACCAAGACCGACTTCCATTAAAAACGAGTGTAACTCCAGGCGAGGTCAGCTCAAGGCCTCCGTCATGGGGTCCGAGCAAATGGGGTCGAAGGATCATCCCGCCTCGCCGATGCATCGGCGATGCGGCCTGCTGTGGAGCCCGATGTTACCCACGCCTACGTCGCCGATGCATCGCCGACGTCGAACGTGCATCGCCGATGCATCGGTGAGGCATCGACGATGCGGCGCGATTCTCCGACCCCATCTACTCTGACGACCCCATCTACTCTGACGGCCCCATCTACTCTGACCTCATCTGCGATGCCTCTATCAGTGTCGGTCGGGCATGGAAAGAACGCCCACCCAGACAAGTCGGCCGAGGAAATCTACACAGGTTCAATCGACACTTGCATGTGCCAGTGCGGTCACCTGTCGGTTTCGCTGATCGACGTGCGGTTCGCCAGATCGGTTTGGTGGTTCT